TTTCTTTTTCGATTTGGTTGCTTTTGCGGTTGTGCTTTAACACTCTTGAGGTTCTCTCTTCTCCCCCCCTCTTGTGGTGCCTCGTTGCTCTTTGGTTTTCTCTTGGCCGAGCCTTAAGCTTACCTCTGATGGGTAATACAGCATGCTATTTATTTTTCTTTTACTCGTCTGAAATGAGATTTGAGCATATGTTAAGTTTGGACTTAGTTACTGGCTTAAACTAGGGAGGCTATGGCATCTTTATGATTATTGTGGCATGTTGGAAGTATTTAGGGAGTTAAAAGCATGACTTTGAACTGATTTTTGCTCCTCTTGCAAGCATGTTGAGATGTGTATTGTTAAATTTTCTGCTTATCTTTCGTTTAGCATGAAATATTGAGGAATTTATTGGGGCTTTCTTGCTTAAGCTAGGGAGTTCACTTTACTTCTTATACATATGGGGGGGGCTCGGTTATAACTCTCTGCGGTTTCCTGTGGCTTTCTCTGGCTCGAAATATATGTTATGCAAGAACTTATTTAATTTGGGAAAGCTTTACATCTTGTTTTGAGAGCTTGGCTTTGGGCTTTGTTTCTCGAGTATGGTTCCTGTTTTCTAGTTGGAGCTTGGCTTTGGGCTCTGTTTCTCGAGTATGGTTCCTGTTTTCTAGTTGGAGCTTGGCTTTGGGCTCTGTTTCTCGAGTATGGTTCCTGTTTTCTAGTTGGAGCTTGGCTTTGGGCTCTGTTTCTCGAGTATGTTTTCTGTTTCCTGTTGGGAGCTTGGCTTTGGCTCTGTTTCTCGGTTGAGCTAGATCCTTGGTTGAGTTTAGCCCTTTTTGAGCTTGGTTTAACTCTGGGGGAGGGCTATATTTGTTTTGTCTTGCTCGGTTTGGCTTCTCAGTTTTTGCTGAACTCGGTTTTAACATTGTTTGAAGTCACGATTTTCAGTTGAAACAGTTGGATGTTTAAAGCTTCAGGGGAATCTGGATTTTAATGTTGTGGAGCCCGATTTTGGGCTTTAAGTGGCTGGCTTTGGTTTCATTTCTAGTTGGAGATTGGCTTTAGCTTGATTCCTG